AGGAAGGAACAGTGTCCCCAGAAGTGATTCCAGTACATACATCCCATAAGACAGTGAAAAATGTGAAATAATTACCAGTGAAAAATGTGAAATAATTACACTTGTTTTGTAATTGTGCTAAGAAAAAGTGATACAACAAAACACACGAAAGAAAATCTTGAAGAATTCAAGTATAAAAGCAAAATATAGGTCAAGTATCCCTAATCTTAAAATCGAAATCATAAATGCTCTAAAACCCAAAACTTTTTCAGCACTTACATATCAAAGGAAATTCTCATTGAAGCATTTTGAATTTTGGTCTTTTGGATTAGGGATGTTCAACTGGTATGTATATAATGCAAACATTTCAAAATTAAAAAATAAAAACACCAAAAAAACCAGAAATCAAGCATTTTGCATAAGGAATAGTCTCCCTAGACTAAGAAATAAGCTGTGAATTCCCAATAACTATACGTGATTCATGCGAAGTGATCCATACGAAAATCATGACAGGAATATTTCAAGGACAAGTGAATAAAGATTAGGTTAAATAGCTTTACCTGTTCAGTCCTCTAGAGTAACGTCAATTAACGCATATTTGAAAACTGACCATACTTGGTGCATAATAAACACTGGCTGACAAGCATAAGAAGGAAGCATATTTTTTCTTGAGTCTGATAATCACTATACTTTAATCCAACATCTCTCTGGTGAAGAAACTGTGAATGATTACTAAAGTAATTAAAGATACTCAAGGTAAGGTTCCAATAATAATAACAACTTTTCAAATCACATGGTTATGAAAGACGGTATTAAGTTTTTTATTTTTTATTTTTTTTTAAGAGACGGAGTCTTACTCTGTTATCCAGGCTGGAGTGCAGTGGCGCGATCTTGCCTCATTGTGACCTCCGCCTCCCGAGTTCAAGTGATTCTCCTGCCTTAGCTTCCCAAGTAGCTGGGACTACAGGCATGCACCACCACGCCCAGCTAGTTTTTGTATTTTCTGGTAGAGATGGGGTTTCACTATATGTTGGTCAGGCTGGTCTCAAGCTCCCGACCTCAGGTGATCCACCTGCCTCAGCCTCCCAAAGTACTGGAATTATAGGCATAAGCCACCAAGCCTGGCCAACATTAAGGTCTTTATGGTGTAAAACGAAAGCTCAATGTGTATATACAAAATCCACCAAGAGGCCTGATAATGCACCTCTGAATATGGCTGCTTTTGTTTTTGCTTTTGCTTATCCTGATAACATAGTTCTGAGACACTTTTGGACTTGATAGGAAAGGCTTGGATAATCACTCTGATTTTGAATAAATAAGATCATGTGCCCAAGCGTGGTAGCTCTTGCCTGTAATCCCAGCACTTTGGGAGGCTGAGCCAGGCAGATCATCTAAGACCAGGAGTTCTAGATCAGCCTGGGCAATATAGGGAGACTGTCTCTACAAAAGAAAAAAAGAAATTAGTTGAGCCTCGTGGTATGCACCTGTGGTCCCAGCTACTTGGGAGGCTGCAGTGGGAGGACTGCTTGAGCCAGGGAAGTCAAGGCTGCAGTGAGCTATAATGGTGCCACTGCACTCCAGCCTGGATGACAAGAGCGAGACCCTGACTCAAAAATACGAAAAAACCCAAAAAACGGTGTAACTGTTATTTCATTGAAGCTAAGATATAACTAATTGTAAGAAACATAAATTTATGTATCACTAAGAAAAAAGTGCTGGCAATTGAACTACAATATGCCATTGTTTATAAAAGCCATCCAATTTTGGGTATGTTTAAATGTGAACTGCACTCCAGCCAGGGCGACAGAGTGAGACCTTGTCTCAAAAAAAAAAGTGAAAATAGGTGCATCTCAGATCAAATATAATATTGTAACTATGATGAAAACATTTGACTCAAATCACCTAAGGAACTGGGATTTGAAATTCACTCATAAATATTTAAACTCACTTTCATTACTAAATTGTAGCTGATGTGTTACATACTTATTCTATGATAAATATTTATTTATGAAGGGGAATTTTTAAGGGCTTGAAGTTTGATAAAAGCTTTCATGTTCAACTGAAGCATATATTTGTCTGGACGCTAAACTCTTCTGCAAACCAAGCTCAGCTCTGCTACAGTCTCACACATTATTCATTAATCGCAGAGATGCTGTAGTGTACATGGAATAATAACCCATAGCCAAGTAGTTAAACCTGGCAGGACGCTAAGAAATACCTATTTAATAGAAAGGTTCACTGGATTATAGCAACCTTTTAGCTGGAAAATGCTGAAACATTAAGAAAAGATATACTAGATACAATTCCAGATATTATACTTTGGTTGTTACCCTTCTACCTGACAAGAATAAGAGATAATATGTGGCCAGTTGGCTGACTTCTTACATCTTTATTAGAAACATAGTTGTAATAGGTTTAAAAGATTTAGTTAGTTCCTGATTGTTAATTCACTACTTTCTATGAGACTTTTCAAGATATCTCATGTAGTATCTTGAGATATCATACAATTAATTCTAAATATACATAATACTGAGAAAAGGGAAGGCCATGGGCCTAGAACAGTGTTTTAAGGCACAGGGAGATGATCTATAGATTATTATTATTATTATTATTGTTATTTATTTTTTTTTTTTGAGACGGAGTCTCGCTCTGTCGCCCAGGCTGGAGTGCAGTGGCGCAATCTCGGCTCACTGCAAGCTCCGCCTCCCGGGTTCACGCCATTCTCCTGCCTCAGCCTCCCAAGTAGCTGGGACTACAGGCGCCTGCCACCGCGCCCGGCTAATTTTTTCTATTTTTTGTAGAGACGGGGTTTCACCATGGTCTCGATCTCCTGACCTTGTGATCCGCCCGCCTCGGCCTCCCAAAGTGCTGGGATTACAGGCGTGAGCCACCGCGCCCGGCCTGATCTATAGATTATTATATGATAGCAAGGTTTCTGAAAATTCAGATACTCATGAATAAAGAATAGAGATTTTGGAAACTGGCTTTAGAATGTATTTGAAAATGTTAAGTTGATGGCTGTTTTTAGTGACAGTTTTGAATATAAATTTGAAACCTTTAAAATAAAAGATAAGTTATATTCTATGCTTAAAAACAAATCTATACAGTTTCAGATGTGCAAAACAGGTAATAAAAAACTTGTCTAAGAAATATCAAGTTTGAATTGCAAAAGAGAGATGAAAAAAGCAGTTCCTTAATAGCTTCTTGCTCAAATACCCTGTAAATTAAAAATGAATAAATGGTTTTTGATTTGCTAATGTCTTAAAAATGCACAAAGTAATATCAATTAAAAACTGCATGCATCATCCTGGTGACTTCACTATAACTAATATATGTTTCTTAAAACATATATGTTTCTTAAACATATATTAGTGTGGAATGTGAAAGACGTAAGCTAAACAGCAGGTTGCGGTGTAGCTAGGATTGTGGTGAAAGAACAGACAATGAAGAGAAAGCTCTACTAGAATTACAGCATTTCAGTATGTACTAATATGCATATCACTTCCACAGATTAATTAAATTATTTCAAAAATGAATCATCTTGGTGAATGATTTTGGTTTATATCTCAGAAAATAAGAAGATAGAAAAATCACAAAATAAACAGCACTAATATGCCTCATTTCTGTTATAGAGGGGCTTGTTCCAAAGAACAGGTTAGCTCACGGTAATGAAAATCTTCTTCACCGTTGAGAACTATACTAAGCAAGTTTATTACTCATCATTTTAATAGTAATACCTGTTAGAAAAATTATCTTTTAAGTGGTTATCTTTACATCTCAGTTCATTTTTTATTTCATTTCTCTTACTATGACAACTATTTACTTTCCTTATATAATAGTAAAAGTCAGTGAATTCCCCAGATGGAGCTTTTGGAGCTTACAGGGGAAAATGTTGGGAGCCAGTTTCAAGAGTAGCATACCTGGATGGGCGCAGTGGCTCACACCTGTAATCTCAGCACTTTAAGAGGCCTGAAAACTGCTTGCAGCCAGGAGTTTGAGACCACCCTGAGCAACATAGGGAGACCCTATATGTACAGAAGATACAAAAATAAGTGGGGTATGGTGGCACGCATCTGTAGTCCCAGCTATCTCAGCTACACAGGAGGCTGAGGTGGGAGGATCCCTTGAGCCCATGAGGTTGAGGTTGTAGTGAACCATGATAACACCACTGCACTTCAGCCTGGGTGACAGAGCAAGACCCTGTCTCAAAAAAAAAAAAAGAAAAAAAAGGGGGCATACTGGTCTATCCTTTAAATTAAAATGATAGCATACTTGTCTACGTTTTTAATAAAAAACAAAAGCTCTTCTGGTATCCAGAAGTAACTTCACAATAACATATTAGATAGACCCAAATAGACCTAACAGTTCGGATCTAAGTTTTTTTTTTTTTTTCATACAGAGACTGCTGCTACATATGGCATGGTCATTATAGCCAATTAAAAGAGCCCTAAAGAAATTCCTTTCCTGTTTAGTGAAGGTGAGTTTAAGGAATCTGAAGTAACCCTGATGAATCCTCCAGAATCTGTTTCAATCCTAGAGTGAAAACAAAGTATTATTCTAAAATGCCCCAGGGTTTTGAGATTTTCAGTAAATCTGGTTGTTCTGACTTCTACACCCCTTATGTGACAAAACTCTGCTTTCTCCTTTGCTTTCTCTTTCTTAACACCCCTCTTCTTTCCTATCTTCCCAATTCTGTCTGCCAAAAGAATAGACATTTTAGCTGCCTATTCAGACCAGGTGTACAAAATGCTACAAAAGATCATTTGATCTCTACCATGTTGGGATCTCATGAAACTTTCCCTAATGGTTACATTTGCTTCTGTATGTTTTTTAGAAAAGCAGCCATGTTTAATATTGTGAAATATGATCTGTCTCCTATTCTGCCCACCCTCTAAAGCAGTGATAAATTTCAGAGCATGCTCAGCAGAATTGGATTATATTATGCACAGTACACATGTTCATCACCAAAACTGTACTGCCTAGAATGTATGCAAGAAGAATGAATTGCTGAGGCTTCAAAATCCCAGTTCCACAGAACTGATTTTATTAGCCAATACATACCAAAGATGGGCAGAAAAAGAAGTATTATTTTTGTAGTTTTCTTTCATAATGGAAACCTTATGCTATTACAGACTGTGGTTTTCCAGTCTTTTGATTAAGCCTTGCCAGTTGTGTGCCGCTGCAACACCAAAGAAACTGTTTTGCAGCCTGTCACCTCCTCCGGCAGGCAGCCATCCTGGTCTCGGAGAGTGGGGTCAGCACCAGACTGGAGCAGCAGCTCTACAATATCCAGAAACTCACAGGCAGAGGCTGAAAGGAAAATCGACAAACATGAAAACCAGTTTACCACGAGACAGAGAAACTCTTCTACTCCAGCAGTAAAGGAAAGTGCTGAGCAATAAGGAATACTGAACCATGAGCAATGTTACAGTGGCTGAAGGATGATCAGGCCTGGTAATGAGAACTGTGGTATTATGCTAGATTTTCAAGCCTTAGGAAAATCAAATTTACCTTTTTGGTTGTCTAGAAACACACACACAAACAAATAGGTATTCTAAATTGTGAGACTTTTGGGCTCTAGTCTTTAAGAATGGGATTAAGGAAAAGAATAAAAAATAGTATTTAAGTATCTATTTTACTTTGATCTTTATTTCAGAATAATGATACATGTGCAGGATATGTCAAAAGGCTAAAAATACTGTAAATGTCAAATAAAATGTTTTGTTTTTGAAGAGGGGATAAGTGGGTAAGTAACTGAACTTTACAATTTGTAAATTAAAAAAAAAAAGAAAGCTGGCCCAGTAATCAGACCATTCCTCTACAGGAACTTTAAAAAAAAAAAAAAAGGGCACCAATGGGTGTCACTGATAAGCTCAAGTTCAAGGTATAGGAAGGGGAAAAAAGGGTGTAGAGATATCAAGACTTATAAATATGGTATGGTATTGCCCCAAAATGGACAAACAGACCAGAAGCTTAGAACAGAGAGTGATCTATTCTGCACACATACGAAAACTTAATTCATGACAAAGCTGGCAGATCAGTGGGGAAATCAAGACCTAATGATTAGATGGTGTTGACACAACTGGACTCACTAAAGGCAAAAAGAGGTACCAGATGAAACATAAATGGCAATAAACATATAAAAAGAGCATTCCACATTATCAGGGAAATGAAAATTAAAACCGGGAGATACCATTTCATACCCACTAGATTGGTGAAAATTAACTTTGACAATGCCAAGCACTGATACGGAATGGAGCAAGAAACCCCTTTAGATGTCAGAGTGTACACCGGTGTTGCTACTTTAGACAACATTAGAGCATTACAGGTTAAACCTAAACACACATATACCCTCCAACCCAGCAATTCTACTTCTAGTTATATACTTTCGCACATGTTCTCCAGGAGATATCTGCAAGCATGTACACAGCAGCACTGTTCGCAATAGATCCCAAATGTAAATAGCCCAAATGCTCATTAATGGTAACATGTAAATAAAGTATCAATCACGTGTACAATGAAATCCTATAGAACACTGGAAACTAATGAACTATGGCTTCATACAACATGGGTTTATATAGAAAACATAATGTTGAAGGGAAAAAAACAAGTGAGAAGAATACATATGATATGATTTCATTTAAACAAAATTTTGAAAACAGGTAAAACTAGAATATTATTCAGACATACAAATATGTGCTGAAACTACAAAGGAAATCATTAATATAAAATTTTGGATAGTTGTAATCTCTCAAAGATTACCACTAGGGAAGGCCATATGATTTGACAGGCATGCACAGAAGGCTCAAAGATATTTGTGATGTTGTATTTCTTAAGCTAAGTAGTGGGTCAATTTTTAAAAGCTATGTTTAAATTCTTCATATACATTTTATATACTCTTGTGTAGCATGATTATCACACAACACAGTGTGTGGGGTTTTTTGTTGTTGTTGTTTGTTTGTTTTAAGAGAAAGAAAGGGTATGGAGCTGAATTTCACGGACTTTTTTCTGAGACAGGGTCTGGCTCTGTCTCCCAACCTGGAGTGCAGTGGCGAGATCATGGCTCCCTGCAGCCTTGACCTTCTGGGCTCAAGGAAATCCTCCCACCTCAGCTTCCTGAGCAGTTAGGTATGTGCTACCATGCTTGGCTCTCACTTTGGGAGTCTCAGTTTGTTGCCCAGGCTGGTCTCAAACTACTGGGCTCAGGCAATTCTCTCGCCTTGGCTTCCCAAAATGCTGGGATTACAGGCATACACCACTGCACCTGGCCCTATAGCCCTTTTATTGAGCACATACTGTACCAGTCCTGTCAGGAATACAGGTAAGATTTCTGCTCCTGAGAATGGATTGTAAATATGTAAATAACCAATTCTAACACAATAGAATGAGTAAGTACTGTGGCAGAAATATATACACTGCAAAGGCAGGGAGGAAGGAGGAGACTGAAGGATCAAAAACACTACAAATGGGTAGTAAGATGTAAGATGAGCTTTGAAGGATCGAGCAAAATTCCTGAGAAGGAAAGGCATTGCAGAATGTGAAAACACCACTAGCAGAGGCATGACAAGGTATGCTGTTAGAACTGTCTCTGCTTGCTCAGGGAAGCAGTACAAAGAGTTGAAAGTACAGAGGTTGGATTGAAGTCAAATTATCTAGGGCCTTGAATCGGTCACACTAAGAAGTTTGGGTTTTATCAAGTGATCCACAGGCATTTATGAGGAGTGGAGTGGCATAATTTGGCAAGCACTGATCTGATTTCTGTCCCTATAGTTTTGTCTTTTCCAGAAACAGAAATCATATAGTATATAGTTTTTATATCTGGTCTCTTTCACTTTGCATGTTGCTTTTGCGATCCATCCACACTGCTTCAAGTATCAGTTCTTTCCTTTTGATTGCTGAGTAGTATTCTACTGTATATGGATGTATGCAGTCATCTGGGCTGCTTCCAATTTTTGGCATTATGAACAGGGATCTTATGAACACTTGGGTAATCTTATGGGTAAATAGGAGAATTGCCGAGTCATATGGCAAGTCAATGTTTAACTTTCCAAGAAACTACCAAACTTTTCTAAAGTTTTCATTCACACCAATAAGTATAAATTCCAGTTGCTTTGCAGCCTTACCAGCACTTTACTATTATTAAAAATATTTTTTAGCCATTCTAGTTAGGTCTATGGTGGCTTTCGTGATTTCTAATTTGTACTTCCCTAATGTCTAATGATGAACACTTCTCATGTGCTTATTTGCCAACTGTCTTTGGTGATTTATCTGTTCAAATCTTTTGTTCATTTATTAATAAGGTTGTCATTTTCTTGTAAGAGGTCTTTATATGTTGTGGATACAAAGTTTTTTTTTCTCAAATATATGTTTTATAAATATTTTCTCCCAGCATGTGGCTTGTCATTTTTCTTAAGAGTATCTTGAAGAGCGGAAGTTTTTAACTTTGATAAAGTGCAATTTATTTTTCTTTTATGGTTTGCGCTTTTTGCGTTCCATCTGAAAACACTGCCTACACCAAGATCACAAAAATATTCTTCTAGTTCTTTATCATTATTCCTCTTATGTATACATCTAAGATCTTACTTTCCCAGTTAATTTTTGAGTAGGCTTCAGGCTCACCTTTTTGTTTTGTTTTGCATTTGGATGTCCAATTGTTACAACTCTATATATTGAAAAGGCTATTCTTCTCTCCACTGAATTTTATGTTGGCATTTTTGTCAAAAATCAGCTGACCATTTAAGATTGGATCTATTTCTAGGTTATCTATCATGTTCCTTTGATCTACATACCTGTTCTTATACCAATACAACATTGCCTTGATTTCTGTACTTTATAGTTAAGTCCTGAAACCAGTGTGGGGCCTCCAACTTCATTCTTTTTCAAAGTTGTTTTGATTATTCTAGGTCCTTTGCTTTTCCATATAAATTTTAGAATCAACTTAGAAGTTTTTACAAAGATCCTGCTGGGATTCTGATTGGGACCCCGCTGAATCTATGGATCAATTTGGAAAGAATGGACAGCTTAACAATACTGAGTCTTTTGATCCATGAACATTGGTATCTCTTTCCATTTAAATTTTCCTTAATTTCAATAATATTTAGGAATTCTACACATACAAATCTTACACTTATTTTGTTTGATGTATCCCTAAGAATTTCATGTTTTTGAGGCTACTGCAAATAATATCTTTTAAAAATTCAATTTACTGTAAGCATAAAGTAAAACAATTAAGATTTGTATACTAGCCTCAGTGTTTTTGAATTTTAATTTTCAATTGTTCATTACTAGAATACAGGAAAACTCTTCATTTATATATATTGATTTTATGTCCTATGAACTTGGTGAACTCACTTATTCTAGTTTTTTTTTTTTTTTAATAGATTCTTGGGGTCTTATACACAGATGGACACATCACCTATGAAAAAAGGAAGTTTTATTTCTTCTTTTTAAATCTACATGGCTTTCATTTCTTTTACTTGCCTTAATGCATTGCTAGAACTTTCAATACAATGTTGGATCAAAGTGGAGAGAGTGGGTATCTTTGTCGTCCACAGTCTTAAAGGGAAATCATTCAGCCTTTCATCATCAAGGATGATATTAACTGTCGATTTTCTCAGGCTAAAGAAATTCCCCACTATTTCCTATTTCTACTTTGCTGTGAGTTTTTGTTGTTGTTGTAATCATGAAGGGAAGTTGAATTTTGTTAGCCTTTTCTACATAAATTGATCTAATCACGTTTTGTTTTTTTGATCTGTTGATATGGTGAAATACTATGGTTCTCAATTGCCAAACCAACCTTGCATTCCTAGGATAAACACACTTGCACAAAATTTATTAATCTTTTTGTGTTTACTAGGTTCAATTTGCTAACATCTTATTAAACATTTTTGCATCAATGTTCATAAGGAATATTGGCTTGTAGTTTTCTTTTCCTCTAAGGTCTTTGTCTGGATTTGGTTATCAGGGTAATTCTGGCTTCACAGAATGAGTTGGGCAGTGCTCCCTCTTCTTCTATTTTCTCGAAACATTTGTGTGTAGAATTTTTTTTTTTTTTTTTTTTTTTTGAGACAGTCTCTCACTCTTTTGCCCAGGCTGGAGTGCAGTGGCGCAAATGGCATGACCTCAGCTCACTGCAAACTCTACCTCTCAGGTTCAAGCAATTTTCCTGCCTCAGCCTCCCAAGTAGCTGAGATTACAGGCGCCCACCACATTGGCCAGGCTATTCTCAAACTCCTGACTTCAGGTGATCTGCCTGCCTCAGCCTCTCAGAGTGCTGGGATTATAGGTGTGAGCCACTGTGCCCAGCCAAT